TTGTTCCAGTTACTGTATATATCATCTTGTTTATTACCTATTCATTCGATGTTATTTATTTATTGTGCTTTGCTTATGCTAATTCCGCCTTTGCCGGGACCAAGCCCGCATAAGAAACTATTCAAGTTGAGGACCGTGGCAAGGTCTCCGTATAACTAAGCCACCTGCCCCTCATGAACACCGCGCGGTCGTCACCCCGGTTACGACTAAGATAAGGGCCGCGCAGGCTGTTAAGGAACTGAATAAAGCTGCGAAAAGTCGGCGATCTGCTCACCGCTGTCTGGCAGACAGCGGCGTAGCATCACGACAAGGGCTGCCGAAGATCGATACGACGACGATGAAGACAAATCAGCTAGGAACCACTACCCGTTCTGAATGGAAAAGGCAGGCATCGCTATACTACTACAGCACATTCGATACGGCACCACGAGGACGACACCATCAGTGGGGGCTAACAAGCCGAAATTGAAACACATCCTCAGTCAGAGGGAAAGAGCAAAAGCTAGTTGATGCGACCACGAGGAACCAGTTGAACATAGTTAGACTCTCGTCAACCAAACGCCAAAGCCCTGGAATCTTGAACCTCTGCGGATGGTAGCTATTCTACTTAGGTGTCGACATCAGCATGCGTGCTTAGGCCGGTATTGGTGTTTTGGTAGAACCCAATTTGGCTGAAAGAATCGCTAAATAGAAGCCTGTCAACGGAAGAGTGGAAATCTGATTGAAGCTACCTAAGTGTTGACCTTCTTACAGGTCTACGCGCCCAGTTAAGAGGAAAATATGAGTCTTTCTTGAGGAAGTGGAATTTGCTCTGTACGAAGTGCTGAATATAGAGTCCCTCATACTCATGGGTGACTTTAGTGCGCATGTCCGAGTGGACACTGAAAAGTGGAACGGCATGATTGGAACGGCCCTAGCGACCTCCACAATAACGGCATGAAGTTGTTGCGGTTTTGTGCAAACAACGGATTATCAGTTATGAACACCTTCCAACATGGAAGTGTGCATCAGTATACCTGGTAGAGGGAAGCTTCTGCACAGAAGTCGATAATCTATTTGATAATCCCATCGTCTGACTTGCGACGCTCTGTAATAAATTTTGGAATTAAGAGAAGCGTAGAGCTGTCGACTGATCATCAGTTTGTTGGCTCGCTACGGTGTGAGAAATGATGTACCCGGTGGCAGACGCAACGAGGGAATCTAATGGAAAACATTTTCTTTTGGCAGGCGAATTTGAGGGCGAAATTTGCAAATATCATCGAGCGACGGTTTGAACAGATCCCGGTGATGACCACTGGTGTAGAAACCGAGTAACATCTCTTTAAGAGCTGCTTTCTTGGCGCTGCCGCCGAATGCTGCGGATTTAATCGGGTTAGCCTCCCGTCTGAACGTCAGGAAAGAACTTATTGCTGGACACGAGAGGTACAGCTGGAAATTATGAAATGGCTAGGAAGCAATTAGTACCTTCAGCTTGCTTGCGGTGTGAGTACCGATGGTGGCAACAAAAGCAGTGGCGAACACCACACCTAATAGCTGAGAGTATTTCGGTGAGGTGTTGGAATTTTCAGACAGCAGACAATGTATTCCAGCAGACCATCCGCCGCAAACCATTCTGTATTGCGTGTTTTCGTGTATATGTTTGTTTCTTTTTCTGTGAGAAAACTGCTTGCAACTAAACTTTCTTTCTTAATATAAACAAATGAACAATTTTCTGTTAGGTTTGCTTACTCACATATATTCTTATTTATTGACTCTATCATTTATTACTTGTCTTTATGAATAATGGACTTATGATTAGCAGACTTTCGCCTAAATATGTTTCAGTGATATCCCACGTGAATTATAGGTTACTTTTACTTACTAGTCGATGTTATATTTCCCTTTGTGATTATAGTCGTTTGGATCCGAATAACTTACCAGGCTAGTTATTAAGTCGTCATTGTCCTACATTTCGTATACGATTTTATCTTCAGGGTATTTTACACTCAGCCGTTGATAAACTCAACACAGAGCATTTGTGATTACATTTCTGTTTAAAATTTATGATCGTCAATTTTCGATTATTGTTTGCTTGTTGTACCATTTTACTTTGCTATGTTTAAGATTTTAGATATTCTCCGACATTCTTTCCGGCAGCGTATTTGACGACAACTCGTTGCTCTCCCGATTCTATCTCTTGACTTACATAGTATGCTATTTTTCGTCTTTTTTATGCGGCTTGATTTTTCAAATAGTGTTATGCGTTTTACGTTTTGTGCACAGAATTTACTGTTTCTAGCAAGTTATGTTTTGTTAACATCTTTGACCCTCTAACGAGAAGATATGCATTATGTTTTAGAAGAGATCACCACTCATGGAATCTATGAAGCAGATGTTGAAGAAAGAATAAATGAAAACTTTAATTGCCTGCAACATGCTGAATCCAAATCTGGAGAAATGCTTTTAGTACAGAAGTGAAATTCCGTGTATATTTGGCAGCTGTGTGACCAGTATTCTTGTATGCCATGGCAACATGGGTCCATACCTAGAAGGAAATTAACGCGCTGTACTGAACGTTTTTGTTGACGCATAACTCTGCGACAGACTTACTGATAAAAGCATATAGGCCAAATTACGCAGACACAAACTGACTACAAGAAGTTGGGCCACACGGTTATCAGAAAACTTCAAGCCAAGCTGGATTAGATTGTCAGTCAGACATTACACAAGATATGAAGCAATTGCAACTGGTGATAAGAATTTCAGGAATTTAGTAACGCTTTACTATATACCATATATCCAGTCAAGTAGCAAATGGTGTTTTATGCGTATGGTTAAGGCGAGTTTTTTTAATCATAGTAATCTTTAGCTGCCTAGCAGAACTTCATATTGTTTAAGAGTTCAGATATGCGTCTATCTGACTTTCGCATTTTGGTATCCGAAGACGTTTTGGCGTTGAAGAAGCAAAAGTTTCTCATTGACAGCTGATTTATGTTTAAATTATTCAGATCTTCATATATTGGATATACCGATCACCAGCTTTTCGTCTTTTGTATTTGAGCTCTCCCATTATCAGCTGACGGGCCAGTGACGTTTGAGAGTCTTTACTTACTATGACGAAATTTACAGACTGCCACTCCTCTATCTTTCGTTTCTGATCACAGCTTATATATTCCTGTAGTTGATTAACATGTCAATAGGGTTATTCCATATGTGATGCTCTACTTTGTTTTCAGCATCTGACTTAAGGAGGGTTGTGAAGACTATGCAGTTAGGGTTCTTGTGTTCATGATCTTTAATCCTTTCCACTTTGTGTATCAAAAAAGGCGGAACAGCAGCGAAACAGGGATGAATCTTGGAGTGATATTACATTTGAAGGGTAGAATCTTTAAGCTTGTGAAAGTAAAAAGGGAATGTGGTTTAACTTTTTAAGTCCTCATCTTGACTGCTATCACGCAAGGTAACGGTTTCGAGATATTTGAACTGCGAAACTTGTTAGCGGTAGTTTTAATGATAACGCAGGTGCAATAAATTTACGTGATTTACCGCCAACATGGTCGTATCTCCGTAAATAAGTATAAACGATTTAATTTTAAATTTACCTCAGTTTCTCTGGCTCTTATTTTATCTGTCCAACAGCATGAAGATTTCTCTTGAGAAAGAAATGTGCACAAGTTTGGATTCTTTCTTTTCCTAAAACCTGGCCATCATAATTTGTTATGTGGCGTCAGTGAACCGTCAACTCTAGCGATGACGATGTTTCATTTGATTTATAATCTGTGATCATCCGCGTGTCCTGGGGTCTGCCGTTAGATCTATGCTAGGAAGATGAGGGCAGAACACCATGACATATGAGCTGTAACCAATTAATTTTTTTTCGATGCAGGAATTTTTTCGTGATACTTTTTTGCAAAAATCACGATAGTTAGCTGTTCGATGTACAGGTTTGTTCTCGGATTTTTTTTTGTTTCCTCTGACGGTTTAAGGGTATCTGACAGCATCCGATTATCGTTATCATGTTGGCGGTTATTGCGGTTGTATTGCATACGTCACCGTATTTTTTTTCTGAACGTGGTCTCGATG